ATTTAACTTATATGCCGCCCACACTACCCGAAGGTCTCTGGGCGGCTTACAACATTTAAAATGCCATAAAAAGGCAAAATAAAAGGGCAAAATAATTAAAATGCAATTTAAAATATATATTCTAAAAATTGCCATGAGACCCACAGCTAATATTATACAGTACCTCTTGAAAGGTATGCTCCCCCCCACCTCGGTTGGGATTTTCCCAAAGCAGGTAGAAGAGCTTCTCGTTTTCAGCGGGGAGGAAATTAATAATCGAAAAAGGAAGGTAGGAAATTCTGCTAAGGAAATGCACGCATTTATTCAAATCGAGGTAAGCTTCCTAAAAAGGAATCCTGAAAGGACTGGGTTTGTTCGGCCCCTTGATGCCACTTTTGCGGCACTTGAGGGGCGAACACGTTTTCTTTGGCACGGGAATTGGCGAGCCGCAGCTGGGCTGCGCTCCCGGGAAGCAGCGGCCGAGCAAAACTGGCTCGTCTTTGAAGCGTCCCTCGACACCGGGGTGGTTTTGCTGCAATACCTCCACGCAGCTAAATCTTCCCGCTGCCGCCCTTCATGCCAAACACCCAGGCAGCTCTTCGCCCGGGTTTACACGCCCGGGTTTTCGCTCTCCTCTCAGACCCCGGCGCTGAGGTCCTTTGCGGGGACCCCTGTTTCCCACTCTCTTTCCCTTAACTTAAAAGAGACGCGATCCATCGGGATCCCTCGGTTTACAAGGACTTGATCTCATTAGAGTCCTGAGCCCTTCGTTACTGAGGACTGCTTAAGTACTCGCCGCCTTCTAGTAAGCAAGCAAACAAGCACAGCCAAAAAACCCCTAAAGAATGCTTAAGTCTACTTTAGCACTTTCAGGAATAGGACATTCAGACGTTACGTTTCCACGCATTTTTGCTCCGCGGGTTCCGAATCCATCCATGCCGCCCACCTCATCTACTAAGCTATACTAAAAATTAAATGTTTTGGGGATTCAACATTTCTGGCTGAAAAGCAAGAAACCCATTTTTAAAATTTCACTTTCCTTCCTTAAGTGACAAACAGCAACAGGATGGAACCGCCGCGCCCCTTCCCCAGGCGTGCAAGTTTAAGACCACAATCTCCTGTAGGTCTACCTGAGAGTAAACCTGTCCGAATTCAGCAAGGCGTAACCTCGGCTTCGCCTATAAACCCAGGACATGGACACCCTCCACGCCCATCTGTGGATAAATCCGTGCTCGGCTGCAGGGCGAATCTCCAGCCTACCGCCAGCCCTCCCCGGGTGTCCCCCCCTCCGTCCCGGTCCGTCCAGTCCCTACCTGGCGAGGCCGAGGGGGAAGGCGGCCTCCAGAAATCCTCCAGCTCGGCTGCTCGGTCGCACACGCTGCCCTCGCAGCTGGGCGCCGAGTCTGAGGCCCCGTCCGCCCCGTCGGGCACCTGCGATTCCGGGGAGAGGCGGCCCGGGGCCAGCTCCGGTTCCGCGAGGCCCAGATTCATCTCCTGGGGGACCTTCGTGTCTGCCCAGGAGGAGGAGAGAAAGAGAGGAAGGCTTGGTAAAATCCACTGCTCTTTCCCGTTACCGACAGGCCGATCTGTTCGCCTGGTTCTTGAGGCTGTGGTTCCCCCTGTACCCCGCCGCCGCCGCCGCCCCTGCCCTGAACCACCATCCCTGACCCGGAGGACCTTTTCCTGTCTCCCAATCGGGGGATCCTCCACTTTTCTTGCCGTTTGCAACCCGCAGCGCTGGAGGGAAGCCGCGCACCTCCCGCCCGCCCCGTCAGGACCCATCCCGGGACCAAGACGCCCCGGACCCGTCGGGAAAGCCGGCTCCGCGAGTGGGGCGCGACCGGCGCTCCTACCTGCGCACATCTGAGCCAGGACGCTCTCCAGGCTGAGGCTGTACTCCCCGTCGGGGGCGCGGGGCTGGTGGTAGCTGTGCGCCTTCTTGCTCTTCACCAGGAAGGAGCGGGGCATGGTGCCGGCTCAGGAGGCGGCGGTGGCCGGATCGGCGAGCTGCCCGGGCGCTTTATTCACGCGGTGTGGCCTCGTCCGGCGACGGGGCAGCCCGGCTCCCTCCGCTTTTCCCCGCCAGGAGCGCGTCGCGCGGAGTCCCCAGGGCGGCTGGAAAGGAGCTGCACAGAGATTTGA